GAGCAGCGCTACTGCTGTCAGCGATATGCTTCCTTCGTCCATGGGAGGCAAGTGCAGCTCACGAACAAATTTTCTGTGGCAAAATCATTTCTCACAGAGTTTTTTCCTGGGGAATTTTCTCGAATTTTGACAGTGAAAATTGTAATAGCAAAATCACTCTAACGTTATTACCAGAATTTCAATATTACGTGCATAAAACGACATGGCAGGAAACTTAGATGTCTAGGGCCTTAAACTCCATACAATGACTCGTCAAACGATGAAATCTTCTACAGATATCTGGTGCTCGTAAAACGAGATTGGTCCATCTTTACACCGCGCACTGTATGGGGTGCTGTACTCCCTGGCGCGAACTACGGATTCCCGAGCATTCAAATACGTTTCGGTAGCATAAATGTAACATTACTTAGTACACAACGGCGTTTAGTTAGTACATTGGATGCTGTAGACCCGTGCGTGAGATGTATTGACGACAAGGGATCGATGACCGTCGTTGCGATGATCGAGGCCCACCAAGGCAAACCCGACGTACCATGGACAAAATCCATCGAGCGAATGGCACATTCCGCCGACGAGGAACCTGCACATGAACCGATGGAGGCGGATGTGAAAAAGCCTAGACACTGCCAGGCTTCGTCGAGCCGCTGCCGACGGCACCCTGTCAAGGAGTTGTTGAAAAATCGAATCGCGGCACGCACAAATGGGGTCTTGGGACGAAGGGGCAGCCAACGCTTCACGCAACGCCACAGTGCCCGTCGCCGCGTTGCGTGATCGTGCCTTTGTCACCAGCTGAAACGATGAAGTTCCGAAGGCGCACGACATCTGGCCACAACGTCCATCACCCACCCAGATCGGGCCTGACCCCGTGGATGTGCCACACACGAATAGTTGCGACGTCGATAAGGGAAATATGGAGTGTGCGGAGATCTTGGGGGGCTCACTTCATTCACGTTAAATAATCCACATCTTCATCCGGTACGGGATGGTTCAATTCTAATACGCTTTGACGGCTTTTTGGGCCCTCGAAATCCACCGCTGGACAAAGGATGGCCTCGCGGTGTTGGTCGATTTGTTGGAATGTTTTTGTGCCGGGACGGGCTGGCGGCCACCAACGTACGGGTGCTGGAGGACTTGTACCATGCTCACTCGCTCCTTCGGGTTTGGATGTAGCATCTTCTCGACGAGATCCAGAGTCTCACAGTCGAAGCGGTGGCTGAGCTTCCACGAATGCAAGAGCGACCGCAGTCCATTCTTCAGGAAGTAGTGGAACCGCGAGTCTTCGGGGGACGCTGTCTCGCACAGCGGTGCCCCCGTGAGCATCATAAAGAGCATGACTCCGAGCGACCACACGTCTGCCTTGACAGGGCTATACACCTGCTTGGCAACGATTTCAGGGGCCATGTAGAATGGCTTGCCCACCATGTCCTTGCGAAGCTCCGTCGTCGGTGCCACGAGGCCAAAGTCGCACACATGGCAGTTGTGTCGGTCGTCGAGGAGGACGTTTTCCAGCGACAGGTCGCGGTGGGCAAACCCTCGGCTGTGCATAAAGGCCACACCGTGGACGATCTGGCGGAAGTAGCGCTGGACGACCGCTGGATCGAGCGTGACTTTGTTGACGAGATCAAAGAGATCGCCATTAGGGCAATAGTCCATGACCAAATGGTCGTACCCTTGCTGGACGAACGAGTGGCGGAGGCGAAGGACGTGCGAGTGGCCTCCGTGGCTGCTCAGGCATTCGTGCACCGCCTTCTCCATGCCAATGTCGTCGGACACCGTGCACAGCGTGTGCAGGCCCTGGCGCGCCGCTGATGCTGCCACGTGGATACGTTTGATTGCTACCATGTCCCCCGTGTGGGAGTCTTGGCATAAAAGAACCTGGCCATACAACGCATTCGCTAGCACCTTCTTGGTCACATAACGACTCATCGCGACGAGCAATCGAATCGGAAAATGCGCATCGTGGGGTTGCTTGCCGCGGCGAGGCGCCGCTGACCACTTGTGGCACCCAGCCAAGTGCCGATCCAGATCAATCGTCTTGGCCAGCAAAGTCGACGGCGAGCCAATAGAACCCCCGTTAGTACTGAGTAGGCGCACTGTCGACGGGGGTGTACTCATGGATGTGGGGCGTATTCGGTCTGGCCATGGGGCACTTCGCGTTCCGGGCATACCGTACATTCGCCCGAGCACATCTCTCTCGCGTGATCGCCACAGCGCCAAGAACTGCGCCACCGCATGCACGGTCAAGTGAACTTATCACGAATGCACTACCTGCCGCCCTCACCACGTTCCTTCTCCTCGCCGACAGTAGACGCGGTCTCGACGTGAACTTTCGGCGTCGTGGACGACGTTTGCGAAAAAAAATGTATTCTTCATCATGTCTATAAATAATTTGAATACAATATTCCATATGAAGCAAATAAACCGTCTCCTTTGTATCTGCGACAGTCGGGCAACTAGAAAGTACTACTCGGAATGACCATGCCAGCAAGATACATGACGAGCGCGCCTCGTTGAGTAGGCTCTCGTCGATGTGGATGGACTGAGGATTTGTTCAACGGGCACAAGACGGCAAGCACCTGGGGCTCCCCAAGTTGTGGTCACGTGCATGATCTGAATGTAATTGTTTCATGCAGTGTTGCGGTGCCATAAACGAAGTCGCGCCGATTTGGGACCCTGAAGAATCAAGCGCTTACATTGGATGTCCAGGGCAAACTGGTCATCCGCATTCTCCTCGACGGACGCATTCGACGGGTGGTGTCTTGGCCATTCGTCGTTGAAGGCTCGACTGGCCTCGACATCGCCCCGTGACCGGGTGTGTTCCAGCGTCCAGGCAGGCAAGTTTTTACTGAAAAGTCTTGGCGCTGCGTCCGTCTAGCCGACATACTGATCGACAATGCATCTATTGCCGTCAGTAAAAGCAACTCTTGCCGCGGGCCCCACCGGATGAAATGTCGTGCGACCCAGTCGTCCCTACATTGGAGCGTAACTACGTGCTACTGGTATCTCTGATATCCCAGGCCAGTAAGTTGGGCGTATGCGTGATCACAGCCTCGAAGACCAGGAGAATGCCTTCGCCGCGTGCCCCCCCACGTACGCTTCCAGCCCCTCGAGCTCCCTTCGCTGTTGGAGCCACAAAGCGCCTTTTTCACACGGTTCGTGCATACGCATACAGGACGACGCAGAGATTTCAAAGAGATTTTGCTCCCAGCAGTTGTATTCACAGGAGGTGATACAACTTGAAGTGGACCTCTAAAAGTTGTTTGTGACTCAAACTGGATGGACACATTCCTCGCGCCGACCACTGGCAACTACGATGGCCATCTTAAGCCACCCGTCACAACATCCTGGAAAGTGATGTCAATATGGGGGAGCCCAACGAGGATGCGGCCCAGCTTCTCGACGCGAACAACGTCAAAGCGGACATCGAGGATTGTGTTTGTCGGTGTTCAAGTTGAAAGCGCTTGTCAGCGTTCATATTTTAAATATTCTTATATCTCTATTTTTATGGATATATTTT